TTACATTGTCAGTTGTGACTGCTAACATTCTATTTGTTGAATAAAAATGTGATTTTACTTATATTATTTTTTCAGATGCAAGCAATGGGTGAAATAGCTGGCAAATGCACCAATTGAAAAGATTCACATGTTATGTAAAACATATTTGTGGCAAATATTGCATTTGAACCCAACTAAAACGATAATTGTAGAGATATAATTACAAATTGCTATGTAAAATACATTGATTTCTTATCCTCATCAGCATTTTTACTCAATCTCTACATAAAAAAATATATTTTTTATAAATAATTCAGTATAGAGATCTAACTTTTGTTATGTAAAAATATCGATAAACAATATACCGATAAAGGTTATATCGATAAAACTATTCGAGTATTGTAATTCGTCAATATTGTCAGCACTGTTTGTCAAAAACTAAATGTGTTATCTTGATGTTCGTGGAGTAGCTTGGCGTTCTTTCATACATTTTCATTTTTACTTTTACTATGGAACTCCCGCCTCTTAAACGTAGTGATTATATTTTCTTTGAGTAGGATTGTTGACACAATATCGATGTATATTTTTAGTCGATATATCGATATTTTTGGCGATACCTTTTATATAAAATATCAAGTATCGAAAGTGTAACAAACACCATAAATTTCTATTAGCAACAACGTTGTCACCACTAACTAAAAGCTCTAGAATTCAGATAATCCATGAAAACTAGCTTGCTTTACGCTATTTCTGATATTTGGTACCTACTGCATCCTCAGTTTCATCAGAGAGAATGGCATCAGTTGTTAATCTTAGCAGAAGCCGTTATCTTTCAGTAGAGCACATCAAAGTTTGAGTTTTTCTTTTGTTTCTTTCGAATAATTATTGGTTTGCATTTTGCAATTATTGTATAGTATTCAAATCTGTTTAATTGAAAAGCATTATATTTTTATCCATTGTCTTATTAATTTATGATATTACAAATTACTGTCACTTGATTAACAGAAATTATGCTTCGAGTTTGGTGTTTACATGAATAGTTATTGAAAGTCATTTTTTACTTTACCACTGGTTCGAAAAAAATATATTGATATATTGAAATCAATATCAAAATGTTCTTAAAATATCGATATGATGTATATCGATACTTTTTGGCAATTCCTGCATCCCTAACTGCTAGGCTCGTAAAATCGATATATCAAAATATGTATATTTTTTCACAAAGTAATCTATATTCATCGTTGATATTTTCCATCTATATATATATATATTCGATTAACTTTTTCGAGTAAGTATCAATTTAAGTATTCGATACTTGATCATATGTATTTGATCGCAGCTTAGTATCCAACTTCGTGTATTGATGTAGCGAGCATAGCTCTTCGAACTATTATCATATGTATTTGATCGCAGCTTAGTATCCAACTTCGTGTATTGATGTAGCGAGCATAGCTCTTCGAACTATTATTACTCGGACTGCTAGGTCCACTCGTGTGCCGAGTCGATACATTGATACTGCGTAAAATCGATTAACATCGACATATAAAATACGTGCTAAATGGCGCTGTAAGTGGAGACAGCAATTCGCGGGAACTAGAACCTGGCTCCACTTGGAATTTTTATTTTTGAGTTTATTTTTTATTTTTAAATAATTATTCGTGGTTTTTTCGTTATTGTTTGAACCTAAAAATGGTTTGTTTGTCTTTTAATTATTTTTAATTAATTAAACAAAATTCATCCTTAGTTGGGACCCTAATTGTAAATGTTAACTTCTATCCCTTTAATATGGGGCACGCCAGTGCCCCCGCCAAGTCGAGCAAAAACGTGGCACGGCCGTACCATCCTTTTCTCGAAACAGTTCAGGCCATGTTAGACCCCCTATAACTTCGTTGTGGATAAAACTAGAAGCATGAATTTTCAGTAACCAAGTAGTTTATATATATAACTAGTCAAAGTTTCTTAATTTTGTCACTCACTCACTGACTGACCGATCATCAAAACTCTAAGTCACTTCTGGCAGACGTATAAGCTTCAAATTTAGAAACAATTAGTATTTAGTGTATAAATCAAGGAAAAACTAAAATATTTTGCAATATCGGTCCAGTTTTCTAGATACACCAACTGCATATTTAACTTTGTAATCCTATATAAATATATAGCCTTACAAAGTTACATTTGCAGTGAACGAATCAGTGTACCTGTGTATGTATAATATAATGGCATAATAGATGTAGATATGCAGGTACCTAGATATAATTATGTTCAAGGGTAGCTTGTAAAATGGTCAACGGAATAAAAAAAGCAAGAATGGGACATGTCTTATGAAGTAGTACCAAAATCCCGCAAAGTATAAAGTAGACTAAATTGCCTGAAAATCCGTAGTTGGTATTCAAGAAGTAGATAGTACCGGAAAGGAAAAAATTAGGATTATCTACTAAAAGAAATGAGATGCCATCAAAAACATATCTTGTAAAAAACCAAGTCTCGCAACTCAGTTCTTCTACCGTAAAAAGATGTGAGATCCATGTAACACCAAGTTGGTTAATTTATTCAATCCCTACTTAAGGGTCCTTCTGTCTCAAGTTTTTACTTAATTAGCTAACCTAACAACATCTTATAGTGACCATATCAATATTAAAAATCTTTTATGTTTTAAATAAATAGATTGACTTGGCAATCGCACTAAACAATCTAATTCAATATAATATGTATTACTTGTGAGATACATTGTGCTTTGCATGGCCAAGTCAACCTATGTATTTTACACCGAGTTTGGACCACGCTCTCACAGAATACCAGCGTAAATAGCAGCTTAACGCTGCTGTGTTTCGTATGGTGAGTGTAAAGAACCGGAAACCCTTTTTACTGGAATCGAGGCATTCCATCTTAGTCTTCAAGGATGACAACGCATCCGCATTTTGAATCTTAATTGAGGATAAATGTAGATGTCTATGGGCCACAGCAACCACTTACAATCAGGTGGACTGTATGTTCGTTTTTCACCCAATCCTATAAAAAAAGTATGCTAAAGAAAAGGTTAACAGTTATTTACTCCAATATATAAAACAGAGTTAATTTATGAAAACATAAGCAGGGAACGATAATTCATTTGCCACGTAGTAACCATTTACCATCAGGTGGACTGTGTGCTCGTTTGTCACCCTTATCCTATAAAAAAATAAATCTTGTGATTATTCTTCACTTAATGCTAATAACAGAAAAACCTCAGCTTCAATATCAAAAGACATGTTTTCCTATTGAGTTACCAAAAATAATGACGTGCGGGATTGGCCTCAGGTTGGACGAAGCTTAAGAGTAGCCTCTTTTTTGTACTGAGGCAGTACAATGTCCCACTTCGAATGAGGGACTAACATTTAGTGTAACTGTGTTTGTAATGCTCTACCTTACAAAGTGTGATGTCGAAAAGTAATAAGAAGTGAATCATAATTTGACGTCGTGGAACACTTGGTTGGTACGAAGTTCCTTTCATAGTATATTATTATTGATAAACGTATTATATTATTGACTAACAAATACAAATAAATTAATTACTAGTGTCTATTAAAATGAAGCGTCATTTAAAATAAAATAATATTTCTTTCATGGCAAGATAAGAAAAAGTGTGAGGGAGATGGATATTACGCAGTTGCACTCCCTATTCCCTCACTCTCATAGTTCGATGGAACGGTAATTCGACACGACCGGAGAGAGATCAGGCGCAGGATTGCAACTGCTTTACGTCCTTTCCGAGTCACGGGTGTGAAACACCGCTAACTTCCTAACTCCGGGCTGCTACTGAGAATTTTTTGACAGAAAACCCAATAACTGATTTTGGCCCCACCGGGGAATTGAACCCCGGTCCTAATTGTGCGGTCGCGTTTACGACCACTAGATCAACGAGGCAGTCAACATTATTTAGGTGAATAGATTCGTAATAAAACATTTATAAATTATAAATTCTATTATGTTACCTGATCCACCTCACAATCATCATCATCATCGTCATTACAACCCTTCACAAGTCTAAACATAGGTTTGCCCCAAAGTTTAGGACTAATGCGATTCAGTCAACAGTGGTCCGCGCGCAGGAGAGATTGAGTATTTGCTGGTCATAAATATGCCTAGTTGTGTAGTAAAATGCTGCAAAAATTACGATACAATGTTTAAAAAAGAACATGGTATATCGTGTTATCGGTAAGGTACCTTACATTAATTTTGTTGCAATTATATAAAATAACATTTTTAAAGTTTTATTTTACTACCAATGGCGGTCATTGTGTGGCCGGTTACGTTACAAGGTTAGGTCCAGGGTTGGATTCAGACCACAGATATTCAGACCCTAAAAAATATTGTTAATAGAAAATAAAATTCTACTTTTGTCCAAAATATACCACATTAGTCGTTTCGTGTTTTTTTTTTCATAACTCTGGGCTTCTTTGACGTAATCACGACTCTTTATTTCACCTCACAGATATCAGATAAAAATCTAACGGTGAAAGGTCCGACGAGTTTGCAAGCCATAGTATAATGTCTCCATGCGTAATCCACCTATCTTCAATTCACTATTTAAATTATCGCTCATTGCACTTGAATTCTCAATTGTTCTTCTATTGGTAAATATTAATATAAAAATGGTTCGATTAAATCATCCAACCTTTTACATGACTTTGGCGTACGAACCGCTCCACCAATAAATCAAATGTTACATACGACTGAAGTTCGTGTGGTGGTCCGTATTATCGTACTACTGTCGCTGCATAAATGTCCTCCTTTATTTATTACAGCGTACGATGTACTGATGTAGCCTTTTGGCATATGGCCTTATAGCCAATACAAACATAAAATAATGAAACTATATTATTATCTTTGCTAATGTCAAAAAGCAACAACAAACGTCAAAGGTGCAGCATAAAATTGCAGTTATAGCCACATCTATTTGAGCACATTGCTACAATTTCAACACGAAAAGCTGTATATTGCTAAAATTTTAATTTCCTGTATATATATAAGTATCTATAAAAATGTACCCCGTTGGCCAACGTAAGTACCAAGTTCAAATTTGTCATATGTAAGAATTGTAAAGGCATAATATTCCTTTGTTTGACATAAATACTAGAAGCACACCAATTAAGAAATATCCTAAACTGTGTATTATACATTAAATAACAAATGAAGTAAGGTATAAATTATTTGTCTAATCATCAAGCTCCAACGGGGGAGACGAGTGCTGGTGCAGTAGGCGTGACTGGCGCTGTGACAGCACCAGCGAGTGCTACAGCGGCAGCTCCTGGTGCTCCAACTAGCTCTCCCGCTACTGGAGCTCCGCCTGCAGTCGCAGGTGGTGCAGGTCCTATGGCACTTGTACCTCCAGCCGCAGCACCTCCTCCTGATTTGCCAGTTTTAACATGTCCTCGCCGCCCCAACCTCGGTCATGAAGGCCGACCGATAATGCTTAGAGCAAATCATTTTCAAATATCAATGCCTAGAGGCTTTGTGCACCATTATGATGTCAATATACAGCCTGATAAGTGTCCTAGAAAGGTATGTATGGCAAGAATCTTCTACTTTAATTTTTTTTGAATTGTTTATTAAAATTTGCATTATTTTTATTTATTGTTATAAAATTATATGATTATTTTTCAGGTTAATAGAGAAATTGTTGAAACTATGGTCCATTGTTACAATAAAATATTTGGTACACTGAAACCAGTATTTGATGGCAGAAATAATTTATATACAAGGGATCCACTACCAATTGGCAATGACAGGGTAGAGTTAGAAGTTATATTACCAGGTGAAGGAAAAGACAGAGTTTTCCGTGTCACCATTAAATGGGTTGCTCAGGTATTTTAAGTTTTATGTTGTTTGATATTTCAGTTATTTAAAGATATATATTTGATATACTAAGATATAGTGACATCATAGTGTTTTTTATGGAACTGAGGTAACATATGCACTTACAGTCTATTTGATGGTAAGTGGCTACTGCAGCCCATGGACTACTAAATAAGAAGACTACATACAGATTAGTTGTCACACATGTAGACGATTGACCGTCTCAATGTCTGTAATTAAACTAGCTCCCTAAAGCCTTCAGACCGAAATACAATAGTGCAGATATTACTATTTGGTGTTAGAAATAGGTAAGAAGGTGTTCATAACCTAAAGAAGGAGTTCTACCACCTGGTAGTATAAAAATATATTAGTATGATATAGTTACAACATATGGAATTGAAAGCACATTACAGAGAGAAAGATAATAAGAAAATGTGAATAAGGAATGTCAAGTAAAAGTTAGTTGAAGAAAATATAGACAGGGGTTCATATTGTTGTATTAAGAGTTAAAAGAGATGGCTGTGGTGATAATGGACTGAATGGCGATTAGAATAATATCATATACATAAACACTCAAGCCTGTCACCCAGAGGGGTGTTAATATCACATCTAGGTTACATTATTTTAGAGATTCCAGAGAATACAGGGACTTAAAATTTTTTGCCATGAGATACACTTCACACACTATTGAAAAAGTTACACAAAATTCACAGCTTATAATTATTGTGTTGGCAAACTTCTGAAATTCTTTGGTCACGATTACTACTCTGTGCGACTGATTGACCACAGACTATTAATTGTTTGTCTTTGGCCTTTGAGTAATAACATACCATGGAAATATATGTACTTCGTACAAACTGGAACCCGCACTCTCGAATGACATAAAAAATACAAGAAAACGACCTTGATATTTTTCATTACCCCTCAGTCTCTCTCTAATTAGGGTGAACACAAAATACAAGAATTTGGGATATTATGGGGAAAAATCAGTTTATTATTATTATATTCATACATAAAATTTTATTTTAATAGAAAATAGTAGAGTTCCATTGAAACGCATGATATTAGAAAAATTCATAAGGACGAAGCTGCGGGCGGAAGTTTATTAATTAATATTATTTATTCGTGTACTTTTTTGTCAATAAAGGAATAAACGAGTGAACGGGTTCAATATAAAAAACTTTAACCATGAACTCAGACCATCATCCTGAACAAAATCTAAAATAATTTTTGTCCAAGAATGAAAAAAAATCAAAATGTCACGTGACCAATTTTGTATGCGAAGTCAATTTTTTTTAATTTCCACAAAGAAATTCCTTCAGTAACTTGCTCAGGATGATGGTCATGATGAGTTCATGGTTAAAGTTTTCGGGAGGATGTCTTTACATCCCTTATAATGTAACATTAGGAAATAATAAAACTAAAATAATAATCGTTTTTATTTACATTTAATATTACAATAGAAATAGTGTCTACAAATTTAAAAATTGTGTTGTTGTAAAAACTTTCACCTCTAATTATTATTGTAAATAATAGTTTTGTGAAGTTTTTGTCTCTTGGTACGAACAGCACTCAACTTTTGGTCCATAAAATCTTTTAGATGCGTTCTGAGACGCATGGTCAAAAAAGAGTTTGAAATTCACAGCAACCACTTACCATCAGGTGGACTGTGTGCTCGTTTGTCATCCTATCCCATATAAAAAAGTATTTTTAAATTTTGGTTTAATGAAATTCAGAGCAATTAATACTGTCATCCATAGACTGATGCAGTTCACCTGATGGTAAGTGATTGCTGCAGCCCATCGACATCTGCATCTATCCTCTATTGCAAATCAAAATGCAGATGCGTTGTCACCCGTGAGAAGTAAGATGGAATGCCTCATTTCCAGTAAAAAGGGTCTCCGGTTCTCTACACTCACCATATGAAACACAACAGCGTTAGGCTGCTATTTTACGCTGGTATTCTGTTGAAGGTGTGGTCCTTCCCCGGTCGAGCTGTTTCTATTCCCATTCGTGCTAGAACTATACTATGAATATAGCTGCACGTATAAATTACACTATATATATATATATATATATATATATATATAAAACATTGGTCGCAACTGTGGTGTGAAGTGTTGAATAATAATATTGATTAATACGTTTTTAATATAAGGTTGACTCAGACTATTCATATTTGATGCCCTTTTATCCGAAAAAAGGACAATTTTGTACACCTCTGCGGATGGAATAAGCATTTTACCTCTATTTACAAATGTTGTAGATATTGATATTTATTTACATTCAAAACGTATAAATGATCGGTTTGTAAATGATCTGCAGCAATTAGCAAATTTTTACAATCGTTACATTTCAGCTGTTTGACAATATTTTTATTATATAACCAGTAATATAATAAAGAATAGTTTTCTGATAATCCGTATGGGTGTTTTGTGATTCCAAAGCCTGCAAGTGGTTTTCGATTTCATCATCAGTATCTGTATCATCAGTATTTGAGATCGGATTCGGATTGGAAAGCCCCACAATGCAATTTAAAAAAGGCCAAAGACCGTCTTAAGATCTCAACGTTTGGCAAAGTTGCATATTGTATAATAAATTAGAACTACATTTAAAAACATTAAAACATAAACTGTTTTTTATATTTATATCTTTATTTATAGCGATAGCACTTATATACGTGTAACAAAATTGTCAAAAAATTGATTTCTTGAGACCGCAATTTTGATTAAATGTGTAAATTTTCATTTAAAAAATTAAATACAATTAAATACTTAGCAAAATGTTGTACAAAAATAGCTTGTAATTATTTTTACAAAGAATAGCCTAGTGATATAACATTTAAGCTGTTCCTATTTTCTAGGTAACAGAATGCATTTTTCTTTCTTTCTGAGAAAAAAGATTTTTTTTAATTACTTTTCTTCCCTGGAAACAAAACTTCGCTTTGAAATAAGAAATAACAAGTACCTAACAAAAGTTCATACATGTACCATAGAGCAATCTGCTATTTCATTTAAAAACGGTGTGACTCCTTGACTCAGTTGTTTCCCAGTAATCATGTAATTGGTTGATATGAAAAAGATTATAAATCTTTGCTTTTTCAAAAAAGGGTATTTTTAACTCCACATTATTTAACCATTTGTTACGTTCTGTTAGATTGGAAGGAAACCTGCAAAAAATTAAGTAATAAAAGATATAAATTTAATTTTAATTTTGATGTTTCAGTGTATCGTCATTCGTGTAAACAACGTTTCGAAATTTCACGCAAATCGAGCAGAGATTCCATTCGAGAAAACCTTTTCCGTTTGTAATTAAAATGAAAATACATTACAATGTATGGTCACACTAGTCGAAATTATAATACAAACATGAAACATTAATTATTAAGCAAATAGTGAAGTAAAATTGGAAATACCAATCAAAAATTAACATCTAAACCAAAATAACCATATTTCTATATAGAAATAATAGCAATTAAAGTCGAAATATCACTAAAAATCAGTTTGACATGACACGCAGTATTTGTATGGTATTTTGTACTTAAGAATGAAATATAATATTACATTCTGGATGCCACTCACGTTTGCAACCGCGCACAATAAATTTAATGATCATTTTACTACTTTTTCCTCTGCATTATTCTAAAATACAAAAAACAAACTCGCGAAATGAACATAAACATCCGCCATGTACAGTAAAAATTATTTGACAAATAGATTTTGGGTTGTCATATAACGACTTTTAAGAATAAATCTAAAATAGGGGAAATATGTAGGAAGTTAGGCAAATAGTTCATCGTAAATCTTTATTAAGTGTTTAAAAGAAACAGCAAACACTTAAGTGAAAATCGTTTTCGACAAGTTTCGTTATCATTTTTTACTTAAAATTCTTGCCATACTGAGAATTAAACTTATAGTGAAATTCTTGATGGCTGTCAATGGGGTAATATCAGTCGTCACGTTGGCTACCCTGTAGGGAAAACAAGGGTTACTCAAGGTCATTTGATTATTCCTAATGTTGATATTAGGAGTGTGGGTTCCAGTTTGTCTATACTTCTGTGTAACATACTTTCCTTGTGCCTTCTGCTTGTAGTTACTCTGAGACACTGGCAGTATGAATGTCATCAAGCAACATAATTTATCTAAGTGACAATTATGTGTTTGGCATTGACAATATAAACATAAATAATGTGTGTTTTAGAGGAGAGATGATAGACTAGTCCCACATATGCAACATATACAACACATTATGACATCTAGACCTCATTTTATATGAAGCATTAAAACCACACTTATCGTATGCAACACAATTACAAGCTTTCAACTAAACGTCGACCTGCGATATTCAGATTGGTGTGGGAAGGTGGAGGGGATCTTCGTACACAATCCCACAGATACGACCAGTGTGTTCCTAAAACTTACTTATAATACTTACTTATAAACAAATAGACTTGCAATTGACAAAATGTATGCACTTTGTGCATTATTGTCAAAATGGGAGATGGATAGCTCATTGATTTAGTAAGGCGATGCAAATGTTTTTTTATAATATTAAATGTTTTACAATATTAAAAACTATAGTAATAAATAAAAAACTAAACCTCGAAATACTATTAAATATAATTAAAAGTAAAAAGTTTTTGTATTTTTAAAAGGGTTTGTAAAAGAAAAATCTTTTCTCTGTGATATGGATATACATATATATATATATATATATATATATATATATATATATATATATATATATATATATATATATATATATATATATATATATGTATGTATATATATATATACATATATATATATATATATATATATATATATATATATATATATATATATATATATATATTCATATATGAAGATCAAACTAAGAGAAACATTCTCAGAAACAGAAAATATGGTATAAATTTGTACTCGTGCATCCACTAAAAAGTGACAAGCATGTCTGATGCCAAACATATGTTGCTTACGTAGGTCAACATAGGAGCGTTGAATATGTGGGAC